AAAAAAAAAAAAACAAGTTTAACAAAAAACACCAGTATATCTTCCGAAATTCAACATGCAACTAAACCATTTTCGTAACTTCAAAGCAATAGTAAATCTACGTTTCACCAAAGCATTACAAGACATGACACAAACTAAGCACCACCAACTATTACTAAAGAATCACTCTTCCCTTCATACAATGCTTTCTCAAAAATATGTTCGGGTGTGAAAGAACCGGAAGGTTTAAACTAGTAAGTGGCTGGAAAGTAAATTAAAAGAGAAACGACAAGAAATAAAATTAAAAACACAGGCTATTCATCTCGCGTCAAGTCCATCTTTTTGGCCAAAATCTTCAATTTTTTCAAACTTTGTTGGGTGTTAAAATTGCATTTTTATATATGGAATCAAAGGAATAATCTTCATTAGCAGACATTATCACATTTCTGAATTTGTCTTAGATCACATTTCCCCACCAAACACAGAGAAATTAATGACAGGCGAAAGAATTAAAAATAGAGAAGTGTGAGCTGACTTTGTAAGAATTCCGGCGAAGTGATTCGTTTTTTCAGACGCACATTCAAAACAGCTGGTCGATACTCCGAAGAGCTTTAAGATCGACCCTCTCTAGCCACAGCAATCCGGGTCAACTGCTCGCTGTTCCAACGTCTTAAAAGTTAAAACTATGTTCCAAAAAAGTTTTCACAATCTCATCTAATGCTTCTCCTTCCTCAATTCATCAGTCTATCGCTGCATCTTGAAACTAATTGCTATTTTAAGAAAAATTTTAAATAAAATGATTTTTTAATTGAAAGAAATGAAAGTTCCAATATTCTTTTAAGTGTTTCGAGAATTTCAAACTGCTTTTTGTAATTTATGAAAAAGTTTCTAGAAATTCCCGGAATTCAAAAATAAGCCCTTTAGAGTGGCTCCAGAAGCATATGATCATACTATGGTAAAACAAATTATAACTTTTAGAAAAAATCGTTTTGTGCAAAAAAAACACTACTTCTTAGAAATTCAGCAGCATGCCAACTTTTATATGAAAGAATTAGTAGAATTATAGGTGTCTTCAACTCCAATTTGGTGTGAAATATTTGTCGGGGCAAGACCATCCGGCTGGCAATTTAAGCAAGTGTCAATCTATGATGGTATTAGAAGGTTTTTAAGTTTTTAACATGATTGCTGCTGGAAATTTGTAGTGATCTTGGCATCATTCAAATCGAGAAATTTCAGGCAACAAAAAGCTTGTTAAATTTTTTTGAAATTTGGTTTTCTCGCTGAGTTATAAACCAAAATGTGTTACTGTAATAAGTTTTTTGGTTTACTGGTTTACTTACTTTACGAGTGGATATAACTCTTTTTTTGTCCATCTCCCTACAGTTTTTTTTTTTCATTTTTGGGTTCTGTGAAGTGTTAGCATAATAATATAAAATTTTTACAAAAATTTAATCCGTAATTTTTTTAAAAATGCACCTTTTATTTTGTAAAGTAGGTTTCATTTAAGTATGGTTAACGTATCTTTTCTGTTTAAAACAAACAAGAAGTTCAAAAACAGCGAAAAAAAGAGACTATCAAATACCGGTGTGGCTAAATAAACATTAAGACTTATTTTTATTACATAGATAGCAAGTTTTTATTCAAGTAACAAAGTTTTTTGAAGCAGTAAATTCTTTTTTTTTTTTTTTTTGAATGATTGGATTCTTTCTTTTTTAAATAATAGGTTTCTTTTTTTTAAGTAAAAAGTTCCTTCAAAGTAAAAAGTAAAAAGCTACCCTGCGAGACAACTGACGCCCTTCTAACAAGCAAAAGCGCGAATTCCCTGGTGAAGATGACCTACTTCAAAACCATGTAACCCTCGTCCATGATACGCCTTATACGATTCAAAATCAAGCTACAGAAAACTTCGTGAATTAAATGTTTTCCATTAAAATTGCGGGCAGAATTGTTCGACTTGAATCCATCTTAAAGAAGACGTGGAAGACCGAGTTATAAGAAAATGAGTTTGACCAAGCTGCTAAAATCGCACCAAAGCAGGCTATTTCCAGCGACAGCGCGAAAAAATCGTAACTTTTAAACTCTAATTGCTGTATTCGGCAAATCGCTTTTCGTGTTACCGCAGCCATAAAATCGGTCTTTCTGACGAGAGGAATGCTGATATAGTTTGTTACAATTTACTTTTAGTGATCTGGCCTTAGTTGAAACCTCCAACTTAAAAACTTTTTAAAAATAAGGGTAAAAGGTAATGAAATGTCCTATTTAGAAGAAAATCCCAAACTTCCGTGAAAAGCTAGATATCTCAATTCCAGCTTCATTTCACTTTCACCTCCTTCATCATGTAGGAGTATATTGAGAAAATGCCATCTCTTGAACAAAAAAAACCAGTGAATTAGTATAGCAAAGCAAAGTAATAAGAAATGGAAAATAATATTAAAAACGTTACAGATCCAATGAAAAAAACTGTAGTGTAAGGATGCCAAAACTACTTGCAACTATGCCAGCTAAAAGGCAGACAATAAAAACTAAAACCAAAAAAACAAAACACAAGAGCCGAAGATGTCAAACAAGACTAGTTAAGCTTACAAAACTTTGACAATTCAAAAATTAGTTTCCCAGATGAACTTAAAAAACGACGAAGAACCAAGCCTTATGCGAAAACGATAGATCTAAACAAGTTCCATCTTCAAAGCAATAGTAAGCTAGCACCGCTGGCTTTGAGATGCAAAAAACTCTTTTTTGAATCTCCTTAAGTAGCAAGAATTGGATTACAGCATACAAGACCAAAAATGTCCGTCAAAAAAAAGATTCAACGCCTTTTAAATTCCCTTCAGACTAACTTACTTCAAAGCATTATATTGTAAAGAAATAATTGTTAGAAGCAGTTAGGCAGAACAATGCATTAAACACAAAAATCTTCTTGTACTTACGTCTGCCGATCGAGACCGTACAGTCTTCTTAAATAAGAGATTCCCCATTAAATAACCTTATGGCTTATAGAAAGAAAAAACTGAAAACAATCCGTGACGGTACTGCAACCTTATTTTCCACAGCACCTCCAAAGATACGCTCTTCAGTTCCAAAGCTGACTAATTTCGTTATTATTAGGCTTGCACACTTGCTTCCCTATCTAACACCAAATAAATTTTAGGACCTTTTGACTTTAAGGAAGGTAATCTACTCTGTAGAAGATTCGATCATTACATTCTTGTTGTCTTTGAAAAAAAAAGTCAAATTTTCAAGATATCGCAAGCATTAAGGAGCTTACTCTTCAATTTTAGAACGGAAATATCTCAATAAAATATAAAAAAAATTTCTCCAAAAAAGGGAGTGAGATAGTTTATCTTTCTTATAAACAATAACATAAAACTTCCGTAGATACTAAGAGCTTTGGAGAAAACAGAAGAGCAAGCGTAACAGCCCAAAGAAAAGCTCCCAGGACTACGTAACGAATTTCAGTTCTATAATGCAAAAGAAGATAATAAAAACAAAAGTAAAAATAAAACAAAAACAGCGAAAACACTTATAAGAATTTTAAAATATGTACATACAGACACATCTGCATCAGGAAGGAAAGGAGACAATCATATCAAATATTCATGGCGTAACTATGAGATTAAAGAACTGTACCTCTGTTTCTCTCCGCTTAATATACCAGGAGTGTCGACAATCGTGACACTTTTTAAAACTTCATTTTTTACCAGGGAACATTGGAAACGATTGAGGAAAGCATTTCCAAATCTAGAATGCTTCGTGAACATGATAAACCCAAACCACATTAATTAGCAAATCAAAGTTCTGCAAAACGTGAAACGAGCACGAAAAACGAGTACACTCGATTTCACCAAGCAAATATTCTCTGCAAATAATCTAATGAAAAACCTGCTCAGAGCTCTGAACTGTTTTTTGGCATCTACGACGAGGGCATTCCCAGGAATACAACCGGTTTCTTCTCCATACATAACTGCTATAAACCGATCTGTTGTTGGCTCAGGACCTATTCGAATTCCAGGAAAGTCTTCCTCCAAAAGGTATCTGATGAAAGTTGTTTTCCCAGTAGAATACTGACCAACTAATAGTATCATTGGCTTAGCCTCAAAATCAGGGTCATCTGAAAAGTAAAAGCCTTAAACAAGTTTCACTGGATGCCGTTTTCGAGAAAATCTAGACTGTATGCATACCCATTGCCGGAGAATGGAATTCATGAAACTTATAGTGTTCTTCAAGTGGTAGTAGTTTCTGCTTGTAAATTTTGCGAAGGCCCTCACTTACAGTTTCGAGTACCTGAAAGTAGCCAAACTTACGTCAAATTTTAACTAATACAGCTTAGAATAAAGAAGTAAAATCAACAGTCCAAAAACTAATCCTGTTTGGAACTCATAAAAGTATCTTCAAGCCAAAATGCAACTACACTCAGAAAACCCAATTTGAATTGAAAAACCGTACGCCAAATTAGGACAATTAAATCAGATAAAGTAAATCGCCATTCATGTAATTTGAAAACAGTTAGAAGCGAAAAAGTAAGGAATGTGACGAGAACTACTTCCAATTTACTCATGTTTAAAAGGCTTAATAAAAATGACAAAAAAACTTCACAAAGTTCTGCACTGCCTGCCAGAAAACTATATATTTCTACCCTTTTATGACCCTAATGCAGTCCAAGCCCGAACGCCGTACATAAAACCGACAAAACTCACCATACAACACACAAACCTAAAGGCTTATGAAGCTTCTGCCAAGACCCAGCCATTCTGAACTAGAAGCAAACTAGTAACATCTGATTTGCCCTGACCTATCTCAACAAGTCCCATAAACCAAATACACGACATATTTCACAACTTTATCTGAAACAGCTTCCTGTCAAAAAAACTCAAAGTTTTAGTCCCTTCTTCAGGTGTGTTGTATTGAGACAGCGGAAATTTGACGCAACAATGCAAAGTACCGGAACAGGATTCGCTGAAATAAGGCTAATTTCTCCACACTACTTTCAGTAGGTTCACCGACCACCAAATAAAGTTCTGTTCTTATTTCTCCTGTTTCTGAATATTAAGAGCGCCTTCTTGGTAACGACCTGTCAAGACTGAGTTATTTTTTGGAGGTTTTCTGGAACTAAACTTAACCATATTTTCTATACTACTTGTTATCCAGGAAAGCAAATCATTTAATTAACGTAGCTTTGAAACCCAACAGTAAGTCCAATAGAGAAATGAGACGTCAAAATAATTTTAAAACTTTATCGAGCAAAACCCAGATCCAGTAACGCATTACTGAAAAACCACCCTCAACCTAGATGGTACCGCCGTTAGACTACACCAGTCACAGAGTCGAAACAACGCCAGCTGATCAAAAAATATAAACAATAGCTCAAATAGTGACAGAACTCTGCATTAGAGATACATTAAAACTCAAAGGGCTATTTAAAAAGGCGTCTAGAGTTTTGTGAATGATCAACTGGTCAATTTCGTTCTTTCGGCACAAAGACTTTGAAGTTTTCTAATCCATCAGACTTATAGGAAAGCGGACAGATAAGAGAGAGCGTGTTAAGTTCTCGAATGACAGTTTTCGCAGTAGCTTCATGATACAAGACACCATCCACTTCCTAATGCTCACAGAAACAAAAGGAATGAATCCTTAACTTGCCATCTCTGGTAGAAAGTCCAGAAAAAACAATAAGTGGTAAAAGAAAGGTTTTTGAAGTGAAACAGACGACAACAGTAATGCGTTGTAGTGCATGACGTATCGTTCACAGATGGCTTCCTAAACGATCAAAGATGATGTCATTTTGAGAAATATTTTTAAGAATTTCCAATCGCCTTCACAAATAATAAAAATGTACATATGACCTCTAAGTGGCGGTGAACAATACACTGCCCTCTGAAGAATAACCACTGAGTAGCCACCTTCCGACACTTTCATAGAAAGTACACCCAGTCACTAAAAATAACAAATGTTCTTCCACCATCTTTTTTAATCTGCACTCTCCCTTCACAGTAAGCAGAAAATTCATCAAAAGTCTCTCTTTCACACAAATGAAAAAAGAAGCGGAATGGCAGGTGCTCAAAACACTAGTTCGGCGCAACTTCACCCTTCTAGACTTCCATGTCTCTTTTTCGGCCAAAAGACGCGATGATATACTATGAATTGTAATCTTTTTTTTGCTTTTTCTTTTTATACCCTTGAGTCAACTCTTTCAACATAGCTTAAGGACCTGAAGAAAAAACAATTTCAAACACCCCCTCAAAGCCACCTTGCTCAGAGCATTAGAAAAAACCAGTTTTTCGTTTTCATCTGCTTAGTTGATATACCGTTGGGATGCACAAAGCTAGTTCAGACACTTCTACAAGTCAGAAGGAATCAAACCCACTAACGCCATAAGTCATGTTTCAAAATAAATATTTTTTGGGGCTAAAATTAAACTACTTAAAATTGTGATAAAAACCTCTATGGTGCTCGCAATTTCTTGGAAGCAAGTGCTTCACTAAAAGCCTTAACTATCATCTACAACTGAAAAAACCAACTTAAGCCTAAGCCGACCGTGCAATTCTTCGGAAAACATGAAAAGAATCTGATACTGCTTAAATACCGTTATCCACGTTTGGATCATACATTCCTCGTAAGAAACTTCGAA